TTTTATAGCTTATGAGATCAGAATAACTCAGCATCAAATTTATTCCGGGAATTTCCCTGTCGCGTTCTAGAAGTTTCATTTCTATCTCTTTTCAAGGCAATGTTGTTGGAACATCTCGCCATGCAGCCTAACAAGTATGTTGACATCTCAAAATTACGGAAACAATAAGAATAGTATTAGGAAACCAGGTACTCCACGTATACTGTTTCTGAACTGAAACTTTTGAAATAAAAGACTGTTTGGTGTCACGTTGAATTATTTGAAATAATTCTGACGGTAACAATCTGCGAATCAGTATCAATTAATTTTAGATAATACATAGAGCAGCTGGTAAGTACATTTCCCATCAAAGTTGAATAACCATAGATAGTTAGTATCCCACAGTAGCATGTTTTCTACAATCTTAAAAATACGTTATATAGTTAGGTTAGGATAAAGAAGTCATTTCAATTCAGTAGACCATAACAGCGTATGCTTGTGTTCTCTTCAATGGTGTTCAATTATGTTAATTATAACTGTAAGAGTTGGCAGCCGCGTCCAAGAAYGTGATTTCAGTAGTCATTCTTTAATGTAGCAATGGCGMGTGCAAAACACTCAGTTTGCTGAAGAAGRYCGAAGTGCCGAAACGTTCATTAAAGAGTAGAAAACCAAGTTGCAAGTTGTGTGGCTTTTTCTTCAACTTTATTCAATTTATTCTATTTATATATATCTTTATTGAGTGAACATGAACAACTTTCATCTCGCATATAAGCGATACTTCTCCCACTGTTTGGCCCAGTTTCATAATTATCACTTGATGTTTTCAAGATCATCGATGCCCACAGCTGCTTTAAATTATTACGGCGACGTGAGGAATAGAGGTAGATTTTGCTTATAAATCCAGATATGCAGATATGCGTCGCTTTAACCTATTATAAACAATCATCAGTAGCCGTGAGAATATTTGCAAAAGTTAACACGAGGCGTTGCCCAGGCCATGTGTCCAGAATCAATCAGCATGAAAGTTTATTCCGGGAATTTGTAATGTTCAACSAACGAGAGAGCGTGTTATATCACTGATACAGAACTAATGTTTTATTAATTAGGTCTGTATCAGGAAAACGTTGAATGATAATCAGCCCCGCACTCCCCTGAAAATATTCAAAGCCGCCCGCAACTTTGAGCTTGCTGCACCTTTTATCCAATATAAAGGTATAATCACGTGATTAGATTCTCAGTATATCATTGGCTAATGACCTTATGAATTATTAATGAGTTTGATAACTCTGTATACAATCGCCGCGTTCTGGGAATTTCATTTTCGTCCATTCTCAAAGAATCACATTTCGTAACATTTCATCATGTTTGCTAGCGCTGGCAWGCAACCAGCKTCGTTAACACTTGGAACACGTACTCTTTTGCTAGAGGAAAAGATTGGTGAAGGTGCCTTTGGAGAGGTTTTTAAGGCGAGAGATCAACGCTCTAATCAACTCTTCGCTCTGAAGAAAATTGATGTATCGGGTAACGACATTGGAAATCTGRCAAGAGAAGTCAAGACCCTAGAGAAATGTAGACACGAACTCATTGTTACTTTGTATGATGTCAAATTCGATTTCTCCAAAGCCTTTATCCTTATGGGGTACTGCTCTGGAGGAAACCTCAATAGCCGATTAGCCAGGTCAGACATCACCGAAATCCTTAAACTACGATGGATGAGCGAGCTAGCCGACGCCATACGTTTCCTTCACTCACAAGACATCGTCCATCGTGATTTAAAACCAGAAAATGTCCTTCTGACTTCGACGGATTCCATCAAGTTGGGAGATTTTGGCCTCGCAAGAGAGTATACTGCTTTGAAGCAAGATGGCGTTGCATCAGATCAGGCTTATGTGTCCTACATGGCAACCTATTATATGGGCTCACATGTGGGCACAATGGCTTGGATGGCGCCTGAAGTCTTTGRTAACCACTATACGGAAAAAGCAGACATTTTCTCCCTCGGTGTCATTTTCTACGTTATTCAAACCCTTAGCTATGAAATCATCGAAGGTAAGAAATATTTCGTGGGAGTGGTCGTCATTGCTGGAGGTCGTGAGCGGGGCTTTGGGGCAGCACTCCATTTGGATCGAAACATAGAGCTTCCTTTGAGCAACGTCAAAGCACGGAGAAGAAGAGATTTGATTCGCGGTATGCTTCATTATAGCCCCAGACAGCGTCCCGGTGCAAAAGACGTCTACAATGATGTTCAAGATATCTAGTGAATGCTACAACCAATTGAAGTGAGTTATGACTGCTCCATAATCATTAAGACGTATTTAGAGTGGCTTATATCAGTTTAGGTTTTTGGGTCCTGCTAATCTGCGGGCTGCGGTTTGCGGGCTAAATATTGCGGGCTGCGGGCTAAATATTGCGGGCTGTGGGCTAATGATTTGCGAACGAGGTTGTGACTTTGTGAGTTTGTGATCGTCGGTTAGGGTTAGGACATCTCCTAATGGTACTGATCTCCTGGCTCAATTTGGTGAGTACAGTCGAATCTCTCGTAAGCGGATGYACTAACCGCAAGCGATTTATTTTACATATACAGTACTGTATGAATATAATGTATTCAATAAACATAACAAAGTCACGTTGAAAGAGCTTTGTTTTCTCTACTGTAGGCTGGAGGTCAATAGAAGTAAGAGTTGCTGTATTTTTTCTCGGCTTCGCAAAAAAATACCGTTAAAAAATGAATCTTGTATGTCAGTGCTGCTGACAAAGTTTTTGAAAAGAGTGATCAACACAGCAAAGATTGTTATACGGGAATGTGCCTTTACATAGTAGGTGGCTATGACTTTGTCGTGTGATTATCACTTTATCGGCGATGAAGTTTCGATGAACTGGCTCAAATCCAAACTGAAGATGTGTAATTCAGCTCCATGTATAGTCAGTCCTATCATTCACAAACATGCTATAAAACTGACAACTTATTATTAATAGTATAAATAGATCATATTGAATTTTAGTGTCCGCTTTACGGGAGATTGAAAACAATGGAAAACGTCACTTGGGAATCGCTACAAGTGTCCGCGTCCGATTACGAGAAAGCCCTCTTTTTTTTCTATTAAAATAGAAAGTATAAATACAGCATTTGTATGAGAGGGAAAACAGGTTTTGAAAAGCTGTCCGTAAAAGTAGAACTGTACGCTTATGGGAGCGTCCGTATGTAGAGAATCGACTGTATTTTATTGTTGTGCATGCATGCCATTATATTCAAAGAAAGTTGTGTGCCAAGTTTATCGCGCGCGATGAAAAAAGAGAAACATCGAACCTAAACTTGAACAGAAATGTTGTGTGYCACAGTTTTTGTWTCTTRTATTGAGCCGCCTTAAAATAATAATAATTTGAAAATCGTTTCAGCTCAGTSATTACTAGCTACKTTGSTATTTGTTTGGAGTTGTATTCATTGGACTGTGAAATAGTTGATGGGAGCAAACAGGCAAAAAGTGCTGAGAATCTTTTAAAAATCGCTGAATTTTGAAATAACTTCGTATACTTTCTTCGTATACTCCCTTCAAAGTTGTACTTTAGAGAGCGGTAGAGAGGATGTTCTTTTGAACTGACCTGAATTTTTTTTGGGGAGGGGGTGCATGTTTGGTGGAATCACATGAATAAAAACCCGCAAATTGAGACCTGCAGCCCGCAAATTGTGACTGAAACYCCGCAAATTGTGCCTGTTGCCCGCACATTGTGTCAGCAGCCCGCATATTTTGACCCGTAGCCCGCAAATCGCGAGACGTTGTGCAGACTCTAGGTTTTTAAATTAACTAATCATAATTTTGTAACTGATAATACCCTATAAATCAGAATTGTTAAAAAATAAATGTAATACAAACTAACGTATTAAAGTTTACTTTGGATTTCAAGAGACCGTTGCGTTTTTAGGGGAAAATATACAATAATTGACTGCTCAACAGTTGAACAGCCGAAAAAAGTCCTGYAAGGCAAAATTTTGAAAAATCTCCACTAACGCTTTTGGAAATTTACTAAAAAAAATTGCAAGCGCGCGCCTGAAGTCTAAAAAAATTCCAGGAACAAACTAGACCCCCCCCCCCCCCCCCCACACTCAAAAGTCTAATGGATCACCCCTAAGCTTTGTACATCTGCCCAATTTCCTCACACTATAAGCGTTGTACTTATTATTGTTCTCAATATGATAAAGATAGATTACGAGAAAGTAATATATGCATATCTTTGCTTTATGTTATCAAAAAAAAAAAAAACATCAAGGAAAACTATCACTTTTAGGAGTCAAGCAAGGCTTCTTTAGTTTAGGCATCTCCCTGGTTTACCTTAAGTGAAATAAAAAGACAGTTCTGCTTCCTCTGTAAGCTTGGACATGAAGAGAGTTATTGAGAATTTTTAACACCGCTCTCCACACAACATGATACAGGAACTAATTCCATGYCAATAATAATCAAGCACAGTCCAACRCTGCCATACTCTATAAGCTGCTTCACGACTACTTTGTGGCGTAATTCGTAATTAATGTTCCAAAAAGAGACACAAGGTTAATGATTACAATTTCCTTCACCTTCATTATTTTGGATTACTAAAATGTCATTAAAATAAATAATTGTTTATAATGAACAAGCACATTATTCACTCTCATCTGTAGTCTGCAGTGATAGTGAAAATAAATTGCAGCTGTAAGCCAATCAGAATTTAGAGTGTGAATAAATAAGTTGTTTGTACTGAAGCTCATCATATAAATTTGTATTATAAAAGAAAGATATGTTACAACGTCCATATATGAACTCGGTCTGATCCCAACAATTATTTTGATCATCTTAWRTTAATTCAGGCCGTAATTGCTGYGAACTCTTATTAAGTGTATCTATCTGTTGCAAAGATTTGGCCTTGTGCCCAMCTCGAGTGGAGTTTGKGAAATGCCTATCATTTCCCCAGGGAATCTCATCATCAAATCATAGTCATTCCTTAGATATTCACTATGTCTTCTGARCGAAGGTCGCTTAAGCTAAGACAACACACCGTTTGGCAAGACAAAAAACTTGGTGAAGGTGCTTTTGGAGAGGTTTTTGAGGCGAGAGACCAAAGTTCTGGCCATCTCTATGCTCTGAAGAAAATTGGTGTATCGTTTCTAGACAATGAATATCTTGGAGAAATTGAGACGCTATCAAAGTGTACAAAGCACCAACATATTGTTACYTTGTAYGATGTCGGCTTCAAATCGAAATTCTTTGGCCTCTTCACTTCGAATGTCCTTATCCTCATGGAGTACTGCTCTGGTGGAAACCTCAATAGACGATTAGCGAGGKCAGACATMACCGAAGATCTTAAACTACGATGGATGAGCGAGCTGGCAGACGCCATACGTTTCCTTCACTCACAAGACATCGTCCATCGTGATTTAAAACCAGAAAATGTCCTTTTGACGTCGACAGATTCGATCAAATTGAGCGATTTTGGCCTAGCACGAGAGTTATCAGCCTTAAAGCAAGGTAGTGGCGTTGCTTCAGATAAAGCTTTTGTGTCCTACATGACAAATGGTTACATGGGTCAAGTAGCTGGAACACCGCTATGGATGGCGCCTGAAGTTTTTAATGGACACTATAAAGAAAGAGCCGATATTTTTTCTCTCGGTGCCATCTTCTACGCTATTCAAACACTAAGCTATGAAATCTTCAAAGGTGAGAAATATTTCGTGGGAATGATTACTGTAAATGGCGAGAAGCATGGCTTTGGGAAGGCACTCCAGTTGGATCCAAACACAGAGCTTCCTTTAAGCAGCGTTACTCCATGGCGAAGGAGAGAGTTAATAGAAGGTATGCTCCGCTACAACTACAAACAACGGTTCAGTGCCGACCAAATCTACAACGCTATTCAACGCATAAAAAAAGGCGAGAAGTATGCATTAACAGGAGCATTGCCAGCWGTATTTACCATTTGTGGGGTTGCCGTCATCCTTGTAGGAATATTTCACTGGTTGTTTTATAAAAATGATCGATGACTGGCACACGAAAAATTACAGTCGAAAGATCTATATATGTATTACCGGATGCATTGTGGGTATTCTAGTGTGGGACCGTCGCCGTAGTGAAAACGTACCTCTTAGTTCGTTCCTGTTTTTTCCTTTATTACTACACGCTTGTTTGACGCTCTGCACGGACTGACTACTGAAACYCAAATAATAATCKGATATCAACTAAAACAATAACCAGTTATGGCATCACTCCACACTGAGGGGAATTCCCCATTTAGGACGACCTTGGCTTATTCTACAAATATCGATCACGTGAACATTTTTAAACTGCGTTATAAACTTAAACTAAAGTAATTACTTATAAAAATACAATAATAATAATATTTGAACATTTCACAATCATTCTGTAAATTCAATATGGATCTTAACCCAACAACATGAAAATTGCTGGACATTAAAACTACTGGTAATTCAAAACTATTTTTCCTGGTAATTTAAAACTACAGGTACATGACTTGACATATTTCAATCTCTAGACCAAACTATAAAACTGCTGATGAATCACTTAAAACTGAGATCTACTATTAACTTATTAACATTGTATTAACTAAAGGGAGGCGTAGTCAGTCTAACATAGTCTGTAAAGACACAGTAAAGTCATTGCATATATATATCCCAACATTATGTAATTAATCATATGTCTTGTATAGTAAAACACTGCAGTAAACCTAAATAGTGTAGTTTCCGCTACTAATTGTTTAGCCAACATGACATGGAAAAAAACCTCTTCGGCGCCGCGAATCAAAGCGATCTTAGGGACCCTGATAATGTAGCCAAAAAATATGTAACTATACCAACATGAGCAATAACAGTAACTAGCACCGTTGGTACTTTGGTTTCTCACACAAGTTTTCATTTTCGGTGGATGACCTTTTTAAGGAATCAGACTCAGCAAGTTCTGGGGAATTCCCTTGTTTGCAATTATTCTGGGAATTTCATTTCTCGAAATCTGCACAGAATCAATTCGTATCACTTCATTACATTGCCTGGTACACTAACAGTCTTCTCATTTGCGATGTTTTGCAACTATTACAGACTGGCTGGCCAACCACTACCGACTATGGTCGCTACTGGCCTACAACAACCACTACCGACTATGCCACTACCGACTATGGTCGCTACTGGCCTACAACAACAACCAC